TTCACGTTAGACAGCACAGTAGGACACGACTACGTATGCACATGCATGTCACATTTGCAATTGTCAGCATCAAGTTTCAAAAGCTGCAGGGTGCATTTTGCTTGAAGTTGTCGTACATTTGAGGATGGAAATCCTCAAATGTACGACAACAATGGCGCCCATAGCAGCAGCGTCAATGAAGTGTCTCGTGAAGATCGCAAACGTAAGAACACGATTTTGTCCGCTGAGGCCTTGTGCATACCGAATACTTTACCGGCAATAATAGGACCAGAATCCACGAACTCGGCTAACTTGCTGAACGGCCTATTTAAGATTACCAGGGTCTTCTTTGCTGCTTTGCGAGATCGAGGCTTCAAATAGGTTGTGGCCGAGTTGTGCAGACCCAATACATCACCGGCAGTAATAGGACCAGTATTTATGAACCCTGCTTACTTGCATCACGGGCTATTTGATTTTACTCAGAATCATCCTTTGCCTTCTTTGCCAGATCGAGGCGCCTAGGCCTTGTGAGCCGCCGTGTTCATCTTAACCGCGCGAGCTCACTAGAGCTTGTAATCCGCCGTCAAAGATCAGTATCAGATATATTGCACATGATACCTAGCGAAACGGCCGCGGGCATATATGAGCATCTCTCAGTTTGGTACAGCGAACCTCTTGCAAACAAACGCCATTGGCAGAGGCGGGGACTGCAATCATGTCCTTAGGGCACCTCAATGATCATCTCGGAGGTCCCAACATGGCCTCTTCCGAGATTCCAGGCTTTACTCTTCATAGGCGTGTTGTGTCGGCGTGCAACAGGTGCAGAGTTCAAGTGTACCGAAGACGTGACGCGTTGATTCACCTGCGCACGCGGCACTCTCGTTGTGTGCGGGATTATTCTGGCGCAAATGCTGGTGATGAATGTGCGGGTACGTATCCTGCCTGTAACCATCTCCCAGCCACGTGCGTCACCCAGCTACGTACCCAGTACACATCCACGTGCGTCACAAGCTTGTGTCGCCCTTATTCAAGAGCATTTGTGATCTTAACATCGTTTCGTGTATGTTGTATTCCGCTTCTTAAATCTGGTCCCAAACTGATACATTTTTCTGTCTAATTTTTCCTTTCTCGCTTGGCACGGTTGCTGGACAAATTCGCTGGAACTAACTGAATTCCAACTGCCTATTTTGCCGCTTTTCTGTCAGATCTTTATGGCTCCGACCTCTGGGTCAGACGGCGAGCGGGACGCTGTCATGGATGCCTACAAGTAAACGCCGCCTCAGGCGGAAGTCCATACTTGCAGATGTATGGGCGGGGGTCGTAGCACAGCTACAGGGTCGTAGCACAGGACTGGACCGCGCCTTTTCGGAACTGGCTGTACGATTCATGGGATGGCCGCATCCTCCGCTATTTAAGCGGGCGAAACTCTTCCAAATCGGTGTCTTCCGACGCCACCATCCAGTTGTGGTTTAGTAAGATATAACAGTGTATGATTTGCTGCAGCAGTTCAAGGTGTCATGCACACTGCTGGCGATGTGTGAAGGCTGACATCATCTGGACCACAGGCAAGTCATTATCAGCTGGCACCGGTAAGGAGAATCAAGAAACCCTAAGTTACTTGTAACTTGTAACAAGTTACAAGTAACTTGTGACTTGGTAAGGAGATAACATTGTGGGACTAACTACTTGCGACTGCACACATCGGATGTGGATAACTTACCTGTATGGTTGTGTACCATACTTGCCACCCATGCGGCATATGCACTTGGGGAGACCCAGATGGCGGACCCCACTAACGACGACCTTGGCAGCCCAGCACAAAACTTGGACTCTGCAGATGAGGGCTATGTGGCACACTGTGCTTCTGGCCTTGCTGACCAGCCTGGGCCATCTGCTTTTTTTGCCGACCATGCAGACGAACCTGTGCATGATGAGGCTGCTGGAGACCTCGGTGACGAAAACCTACCAGGTGATTGCAACTGGGATGTCCAGGGTAGCCAGTCCACGGCAGTGAAGGTGATGACAGGGTCATGTTGCCCATTGCGTGCTGCACATACAGGCTGTTGACCCACACATGCACCAGCCCCATCCATAGCTTCATGTATGGTCCACTTGTACTCCTGAATGTCCTGACACACAACTTGCCTGTCCTGGCACTTTCTGTGTCACCCCTGGGTCACACAGATGGGGTCGCACATGTTGGAGGGCCACAGATGGGGTCGCACATGCTGTGGGCTTCATGAGCTCATTGCTTTTTGCTGCCTTCTGCACATACAGGCGAGGATGGCAGTGGTTTTAGGAGACCAGATGTTGAGGACAGCCCGATGGACATTCTGCACTTCATGGCCCAATATGCTGCCTGGGAGGCAGTGCAGAACCTGCTGAAAATAGCCCTATGGAAGGAGCTGCTCCTGGCTAACCTGGCAGTGATGAGGATGATGTACAGATCCAAACCTCCCTACCAACTCATAGGGGGTCTAACAGCGTCTAACTTCTTAGGCGGGGCTGTCAGCCGGGCTCATTATCAGCTGCTGACGATAGTTGTCAACGTGGCATAACAGCCAGTTAGACACTGGGTTAGAGGCTGTCTTGTCCTGTTTGGCCCTGTGACTGACATATACCTGGAGCCCACACTGTTAACAGTTGTCTGATTCTAGGGACTGTTAGCAGCTGTAAGGACCTGTAACAGAGCGCTTTCTGCCACAACAGGATATTGTTGACAGGATGTTACATTCTGGTTGGGTCACCCAGATGCTGAGAAAGAATTTTTGACGGCTGTTAGGGTTTGGGGAAGCTAATTGTTAGCAATTGTTCAATTCACTTAAGCTGTTAAGCGGTGCCAAGGGCTGTAGTTGCTAACAGGCCTTGAAAGCTGTTACGAGCAGGGACATGCTAAAAGGAAGTTCCATCATGTTACTGGCTGTTGCCATTAGATAATTTGCTGAACTGCTGTTTAAGGATTTTAATTGCTGTTTTGAGGTTCAGACACTGTAAATGTTATGAGCTTTTACATGATCCCTGTCCACTGTTAAATCACACATTCTCTTTTTTTTGGAAAGCTGTCTGACTTCATTATTCATGCCATCAGCATCTATTTGCCATCATTGGGGATAGAAGCTTGTACTGCATGGGTAGGCACAAAACCACATTCGTCAGGAATTATATACATATGTATGTATTACACACAACAGTCTGGGTCGCCCTGGTCACCTCACTTGCTCATCATGTGGAGTTGTGCAGTATAGTGCACAGCCAGCTGGCCTGTACAGGCATCTATCGTCTCTATTCTTTACAAGTCTGGAGGCTGCTACCAAAATCATCACAGCAACAGCAGTACCTTGTCTTGGCATGCAATTATACACACATGTTCTTCATCAACCTTCACCTGTGACCTGTTCCACACTACTACTGCACTGCTCCCTTTTTTCCTAGTGAACACCTACTGCACACCACTGAACCACATAGCCCTAGACTGCAGCTGCCCACTTGCTCCGTATCCCTGCTCATCAAGTAACCTCTCTAAGCAACCAATGCCAGCTTGCCCTTGTACTGGACCATGTAGTCATTCCATAGAACATTTGTGCAGCCATGGGAGAAAGCCCACTCCTTGACCTGCTGCTTGTTGAATCTGCCAAGTAGGCTCTGCACTGGAAGCTCTACAACTGTGTGCTTCTTGAGCTCCTTGCCAACCTTAATGGTACCACTGGGCAATACCATGGAGGTCTTCTTGCTGTTGTTCGCCCTGTGCAGAATGAAAACAGACACCTTGTTTTCCTGTGCATTGCATGCATGGTGAATATGGAGGAACCGACCAGTGCTTATTCAACGTTGTGGACATGTATGAAAAGAAACATAATTATTATGTTATTAGCAGTAGCATAAAATGCATAATCCAGCAGGCAAAGACATTAATTTCAAGCATTTCAAGCATTAATTTCAAGCAGTTCATGGTTGCACTGCATTGCAGCTGCAATGTATGCCACACAGAGCACAGGACTGTCCTTGCCCTCGACAATGAAGACAAACTTGTCATCTTCATTGTTTAGAGGCCCTGCAAGTATTCCAGGTGCGACTGTGAAGACTGGTACTTCTCAAACTCCTCTTCGTCAGCTCCAAAGGAGTTGAATCTCAAAGCATCTGCTGGCAAGGGATGCACATATGTCATGGTTAGTAAAGTCTTCAGCTGCAGGTATGATGTATGCAGGCATGTATCTTTCATGGTATGCATATTTGAGGTTTCAATACAAGCAAGTTGAAAACCCAATAACCCCAAACTATTACTAAGTCTCTCCTCTTATCTCTGCATTTACACATAAGGGCTAGAATGAATTTGCAGCATACACAGTAGCAGGATATTGAATCCCCCCAAAAACAATTGTAATACTGTTTCCAAAGTACTCTTAGTACTCACCCTCCACATTGGCCTGCTGCTGTAGATTTCCAATCCACTTCTTGCGGTTGTTCCATCTCTCAACCAGGGACTTCCAGACACGTGCGTGTATGTCCTGGTCGGTTGCTTCTGAGTCCAAGTGGAAGCCAGCCATGGTTCTGTCTCGCCCACCCAGTGTAACCATGAAGTCCTCAATCTCCTTTTCAGTCTGTAGTCAAGCATGAGCACCCATGAGTATTGAGTGACAGTCTTTCAAAGATGAATAATTCAACCCTGCCCCAAACTTACCACTTCCAAGTAGATCTTGGATGCTGAGTTGAAGTCGTCCCCATCTCCTTCTTGGCTATCCCAGCTGTTCTTCCTCTTCCGGGGGTTTGGGTTGGCAACCGCCTCAAAGGCTGCCTCAAGCCCATTGATTTGGTGGCACCACGTGTACCATCTTGGGCTTGACACTCTCCTTGAACTGTAGATTCATTAAGCAGTGCAGTGTTGTACCTCTCAGTAAGGAGAATTTAACATATAAAACGCAGCAGATACACAAAACATCCTCAACAAGTGACTGGAATGGTTATGTTTAGGGTTTGTAACAACATCACGTTTAGTCTGTATTTTCACAGAAAAGCAACAGGTTTCTATGCTTACCGTTTTGAGGCTCACCCTGTTGACCTGCTGCTGGTCAAGAAGGTCTCTCTCCCTGAAGCCCATATCGTAGAGGGTGCTGAATGTCCATGGTAGCCTTGGCTGATCCTGGACTGTTAAAAGCCGGCTTGAAATCCGACTTCCATTTGTCATATGCTGTGTAGAACAGCTGGAACGGCCTACAGCCGATTTCAAAGCCTATTTTTGCAGCCATATCCCGAACTTCCACTGGAATGCCTTGAAGGCCAGGAAGGTCACCTGGACTAGGTTCAGGAACGTTCTGAATAGCCTCCTTCGATAATGCGAAAGGAATGGGTAGCAAAGAATGAGGGATTCGTGCTTGACAAGTAAAGCAAGCAAGTTCATCAGGATAATAGGCGGCGCAAAAGGTCACAGCTTTACCATGCGCTCATGTGCTGTTTCCAATTCACAGTATTCCTCGGACTCTTCAGTGGTATCAGATCCTGTAATGGCTGTGACCTCTCTCCTACTTTGCTGTAATGTAGGGCGGACAAGATCGACCGCCGGCTGCACTGCTTGGTCGATCCTTCTACGAAGTCGGCGGGATTTCAATCCAGCTGCAGTGCTTGTAATTTTGTTGGACTGGGGAGGTGAATGCAAAAGACCAAGCTCTGCTAACTTAGCTTCGTTTCTGGCTATGCATGTAGCACGCTCTTCCTCAAGGTCCATCGATGATCGTAATGATATCACAATATTGCCTATATGAATGACGAATGTAAGCAGGATGTACTCATTCTGGACTGATGTATGAAGATGAGTACGGCGTGATTGCAAGCGACCTGTACCAATGAGGCAAACCGTTCATGGATTTGAAGGTGTAATTTATTACAGAAAAGGTTGCCGCATTTGCACGACTTAGGCATTTTGTGAATGTGGATGGGTTCTGCAGGCCAAGACCTAAGCCCACCTGGAGTGCCTATGCCCCGGAGTGGAAGTTGGCTAACGAATTACGGCGAGGCCAGGAACACCAATTGAGTTAATTATTGCTTGTCTTGGTAGCTTAAATTCTTCGCAAAGAGCACATACTTTGGTAGATGGTAACTGCGACTGCCGGACAGAGGTCACACATTTTCATAAAGCCAAACGAACGGGCTACAGAGACTTCATACCTAAATCAAAGTTATTGCTTTAACTAGTATAGCAAACAGCTTAACGCGCGGGCACCTCCGACTTGGACATGGCCGATGATGAAGACAGGACTTCTCGCTTTGTACCCATCCAAAAGCACCGAAAAGCATAGGATTGTTTTGTAATATAGGGTAGGCAAGGCATTGCGTGGTCGACTTAAAGGGAGCGCATGTTGCCCCGGCTGCGCTTTATGGGCCTCCAGGAGCCCCAAAACGGTTTGCCTAGGGTCGATACATTTTGCAGATAGATCATAGGCGCTGGGCTGTCGGTCATAGGCGCACAGCGGCTGGATGGCTTTCAGACTGCCGGTCATGGAACCCGGGAGGCATGCTGTTGGTGCGGGGCAAACCAGGGGCTCTCGGGTGACCGGCGGAGATGGATGGGCCACCCCACCTCACCCATGTGTTGTGCACAACATCCAAACAATTAAAAAAACCGCACACGACACAACACCTGCCACTGCCCATCCGGGAGTCTGGGGGTGTCTCTCCAAAAGTTAAATAACTTAGAGGTTTGATGGCTGTTTTGGCATGCCACACGTTTGTGCGCCTCTGCTGGTTGTGTGTGTGATGACTCTCCTATGAATGTCCAGTCAAACGAATGGGGGAGCCACCAGCTGAATGACTTCAATACGACAGGGACCCTGGGGGATTCGTGTGGGTGCGAATGATGCATATGCTAATAACACTGAGGCCTCTGGCCCCATAGATCCGTGTGGCTGTTTTTTCCTTCGGGGTGTGAGCTAAGGGAGACATGGCGCTCCATCTCCATCCTTCCATCATTTCACCCTCCCTCCCTCCAACCCTCCCTCCACCCTCCCTCAATAATCCCTCCACAATACCATTTCCCACTCTTCCTCCACCCTTCCTCCATCATCCCCCCCACTTCCCTCAACGCTCCCTCCCAACATCCTCCCTTCCCCTACCATCTGCCCTCCCTTCTGCCATCCTGTGCCTTCACCCCTGCTGTCCCCTGCACTCCCTTGGTCTTCCCTCCCTCCATTCTTTGCGAGTGAATGTGTATGCCCCACCATCCGTGTGATCATGTGCTCACGTACAAATGTGTGTATGTATCATGGGTCAGTATGGGACACCTGGGAATTGAACCCAGACCCACAAGAACGTGGGTGGCACCTCTGTACTGTTCCAATTCCCGCCCCGCCACGCAACGTTTTCCCCTTCCCCCTTTTGTTTTGCCATCCCCCGACTGCGGCCATGATGATGTTAGAATGAATGCGTCGCCTAGGTTGCAGGGGGGCCCCGTCATGCCCTGAATCACGCCCTCCTAACCATTCCGCCCCGCCGCGTTTTCCCCCTTTCCCCCCTCGTTTTGCCATCCCCGGACTGCGGCCATGATGACATTTGACCGAATGTGGCGCCTAGGTTGCGGGGGGGCCCCTGTGATACCCTGAAACCCGCCCTCATAACCAACCCGCTTCACCTTGGTCTCCATCTTCAATGTCTACCCTTCCCCTGACGGTGGCCCCACGACATATGCTATGGCATCCTATTTGTTGTGTTGCGATGGTGGTGGTGCCCGTCACCGCTGTGACAGTGGCAGCAGCGACGACCGGCCTGGCGGTGCAGTGCAGCAGTGTGGGCCCCAGATGGGGCTTGTACGGGAGGGGATACTGTGGGGACCAGTCGGGTAGCTACTAAGGTGGCCATGGGGGTTTCATGAGCAGTGACATGCATGGCCTGGGACAGCTACGTCATCTACAGGCAGTGGAATACGGAGATGAATACAAGGCGGATGGTGGGGCCAGCAGTGTATTCACGGCCGCTGGTGTGTACGGCATAGGTCAATATCCATGTAACCCTTTCATGACTGGCGGAGGCATGGACTACCAGCTACATGGCGGGGTGATGAGATGGATGCTCTTGTTTGGTGGGCGAAACCGTCATCAAATTCACACCGCTGACCAACGGACAATAACAGCGGCACCTAGCCGCTGTCCTGGTAAAGAGAGCTCGTATCAACTAGCAGCCGAGTCCGAGATCGCCCGGAAGATAATTCGACAAGACTAAACACCACCGATCAAATAGCAGTTCAAAACAACAACCAACTAACTGCACCGTACGACGCCGCTCTGACGCCCCTCTTCAAACCACATTTTCGGCTACACCTAAAATAAGATTTTGAATCCAGGCTGAGCAGCTAGCCAGCCCAAGAACCGGGACGAGAAACCCAAAACGCGTCCGTTACAGTACAACTAATATGAACAAGGCACCGGGGACGTGGACATATGGTTGGGGATAAGAAACGCCCAGCCTGCCTGCCAGAGCCCGCATGCTACTTCGTGCGGCCCTTCCGGGCTACCGTGCTCTTCCGAATTGGTAACCAGCAGGCAGCCGACGGCCTCGCTTGGGTTACTTTGGCCCCACGCCTAACCCAGCGAAACATCCCCCCTCACCCAGTCGCGTCACATTCACTCCACCACTGTCCGCCTCACAGCAACGGACCGGCGGATGTAGACCAGCACCGCATCAGACCTCCACCGCCCGTGCACCTTAATCTCCTCCAGACCCACCCCAGCATTATCTTCCGGTACCCAGGCGCCTACCCCAGCGAAGGCATGGACTACCAGCTACATGGCGGGGTGATGAGATGGATGCTCTTGTTTGGTGGGCGAAACCCTGGAAGGGGTGCAGCATGCACAGCTGGTCCCGGGTTATGGCAGTGGATCTCAGGATCAGGGTGTAGTGGTGACGGGATGAGCATGGTTGCCAGTGTCTCCAATTGGGGGTGCAGGCACGGACGGGGGTGTATCTGACACATCCACAGCGTTTTGGACAGGCGGGCTTTACCAATTCTTAATTGGATCCGGTGGGCGGGTGATGAACATGCCGATTGAAGCGGAGGCATGAGGATGATGCATTATAATTTGGCGGTGTATGCCAATCAGTAACTTCCTATACTCGCGAACGTGGTGGAATCCTACACAAAGGTCTTAGTGTAAT